TGCAGCAGATTAAACTGAAACTTGAACTCGGCTTGTCGAGTCCACTTTCCACGCCATTAACCAATATGCCACCCTCACATATCACGAGTTATTTATTATGTGAAAACCTGATGAGTACAAATAATATTAGTTCGTACTACATGTTGTTGAAACTGACGACGACGATATAGAGGAGAATTGATTGGCTGGTTTTTACGGTTTATCAACCCATTGTGGGTTATTTAAAGTCGAAACATATTTCTATTTGTAGGAGATTATTTATAGTACCCGGTGTTCTGAAACGGTCCTCCAATATAGAGAAGAATGCTCACGTTTTAAAATGACTTGTTGTCACTTTATCTTCACCACGAATTACTAGAAACCACTATAATTGGCAAGAAGTCATGGTAATTCATAGATAATAAAGAAAATGAATATGCAGAGAGTCATGTTCGCCTACGTCTTGAAATGGTAAAGTAAATGACGATGTGAACTCTAGATCAAGTGACAGCAAGTCTCTTTACTATTTTAGTACTCTCCTCAGTATTCTAAATGATTTTAGTAACACTGTCGCCTGAATGGTTGTAATTCTTTTAATTTTCAGGCTTTTCAAACTCATAGATAATACTGTTACTTTCATAATATTGTACTATTTTTATACAATTGGTGCCGAAATCTAAACAAAGATTTTTTTGAAATCGACTGTTTTACAATTTAGGAGACTTATTTTATTATAGTTGTTATTCGATCCGCCATGAAAGCCATCTGATACAGCAGGTGTTTAAGATTCGTATAAATAATTAATCCTACTCAAAACAAGTCTAATTAAACAAAAAGAATATCGTGAATGTTCTTTTAAAAGCCTTTTACTGAAAACTGGATGTACAAATTACAAAGGTTACAGCCAAATGAAATTTTGACTGTTCAAGCAAAACATTAATCCTGACCTTTGACTGTAACGGTATCAACTTACCCATATAAAAAGAAAGACATTTGCGGAAAAAATAACAATTCATAATCAACAGTGTTTTTTGTTGTACGAAACTCGGCTCTGTAAATACCAATTTTTAAAAAATAACGATGGTGCTTACGATAAGTGTTCCGCTCAATGCTGAACTTATGAACAGTACGGAGCCGACATCTTTTCCTGCAGAAGATGGTAAGTACTTTCTTTTTTTTAATGCTATGTTCCTTCTGGACATACACTATCATGACTCGCCATAGATCCTTTTTCTTTATTATCTCGGGATTGCTATGCATTCTTAGGAAAATAATGGAGTGCTTTCTAGTTCAGTTCTCCAAAATAAATAAATATTTTCTTTTTAAATAACAATGGACGATATATTAGTTAAACTTTAAAACTAAACTTATTATAAGCGCCAATCTATGAGCAAAAGAATTTTTCGGACTGACTTGTGTTATCGAAAAATATATATATTTTTTTTTTTATATCTGGAAGAAATTTTATTTAAATAAAATATAAATTATAGTTCACCATAAATTAACCTTAAAAAGATAAATTTATTGTTTTCCATCTTGGTAAAAATTTTTAATTTTTTTCTTTTTAAAAGATTATTAATTGTGATTATTTTCTTTGTCCATTTTCGTGTTAAAAATTCACAAACTTAGTGTGGTAAATGGCAGATTACGTAGTACTTTCTTGCTTTTAAAATATTTTCCAGTTTTAATTATAGATATTTCAACCTGCAAAAGTTTTTGATTGTAGATGAAACCATCTGTACCTAACTTACAACTTAAGTAACTGATCTCAAAATCATGTAAGCACTTCCGTCAACGTGGTAATTTCTCCTTTTTCATATTTACAACATTTCTGTCTATTCGTAGTTCGATTATCATTTAACGCCGATAACTCAATATTCAGTTAATATTATATCCAACTATTCTGATGCTGAAGATAATAGCTGAAACAAGGATTTATTTGACTTCAGCCAATGCTATGCAATGAGAATCAATCTCGCTACTACAGTGTAACCCGGATATAAGAGATTTTCTCTGGTCCCAAATTAGATCCCATACTTACCTAAACAAAATAGACCAAACCCGGATATAAGAGAAACCCGGATATAAGAGACTTCTTCTCCGGTCCCGACAACTCTCTTATATCCGGGCTACACTGTATAACAAATTGGTCCTCAAAACAAGCTTGCTAATCAAAACACCATCATCATGTAATACTTTTAGACATTATTTAACTTTTATTCTAATAGTATTACTTTTCTCAAGCTGAAAATAAGTCCATTATTTTGACGTTGTATTTACTTTCATCTTAATCTTTGAGTTGCTTTTTATAGTAACATTATTCAGGTCGTTAATCTACGGTGGATAATCGACTGAATTGATCAAAAAATAAAATATAAGCTCTCGGCGCGATTCGATCTTTAAGGAAGCTTCAAAACAACAACTATTTTAGTTGATTTGTAATTATTTGAATGGCTCTTCAGAAGACCAAATATGGCCCTGTGTACAAAGAAAAACCAGATAATGACCCTGAGAAAAAGCACGAAATAAAAGGATCGATTTATACAGTTGCGATAAAAAGCAACTAAAATAGTTAAAAGTAAATATAAGTCAGTCAATAATGTTTAATGATGCTTCATCTAATAAAAATAAAGAGTCTTCCTTCCGAAATAAGCTCACTTCATACAAAACCACCTCACTTTAAGATAGTGCTCAAGCTTATCACTTTCTTTCTTTGTAAAAGCTCTCGTCGATAAAATGAGAGACTATCTACTTTTAAATACCAATTCTTTTAGATGTTTCTTCTTGATGATTTTTGGTTTGTTAGTAGTTTGTTTTTGTTTTTATGAATTGCAAAGTTTCTTATCTGACTTCCGAGATGAATACGCCAACCATCTTATTTCTAAGATGTTACAAAATAAGACACAAAGCTAGTACAGAGGAGGGAGAGAATGAGGATTGCATACGCGATTTGGTCTGCAAGACTAGTTTGGTAAACATCGCTCAACGGAGAATTATTTCTGGCACTAATTTTTGGCTTTAAAAAGATCTACTATTTGATGAAGAGACTTCTGAATGATTGAAAACCTCTTGGTGTATTAAGTAAACTGTTGAAATGTTAGTGATAATTAGACGACAAGTGAACTTTGAAAGACACTTTTATTACATACTGTATCTTTTGGGTGCCTGTGGTAGCCCAATGCTCCATTTCTGTAGCCTTTTGTTATACAGAACTAAAGGAAGTAAATAACTCTTAGTTTACAGTCCGTTCAATAAATGAATGATTGTAACTTTTTTCTGGTACTCTCATTACTATCGTGAAATTACTTATTTGAGAGCCTCGTTCTGGAAACTCAGATGGAAGTAGGTTAATTGGTTTTGTTTAGCGGCCTATCAACCCCAATCTAAATATTTTGAACTTAATTTTATGCCTTCAACTACTGATATTTTATACTTTCAGTATAAACGCATCTTTTATACATATCTAGTTTGTAGATGGTCTCTTGTAGGTGTTATGTTTTGGTATACATATATTTCTTTAAGGTATGACATTATGTTGATGGTTTCAGTATATTCAAATAGTTTTCTCATGCTTTTACATGTCTTCCAGAGGCTAAGTGAATACATTCAGTTAAGATAGGAAGTCTGTTGAAACCGGTGTTAGACTCTAGCGGTTCGTTGGCGAAATATAGTGAACTGAAGTTACAATTCAAGTAACTAATAGTTCTTTGCCAGGACCGATGTGTAGTACCACTGAATCTCTCAACCAAGAAAAGGCAAGCCTGATTGCACCCGAAAAGTGCTTTGTTACCCTAGCTATCTTATCAACATTTGCTTTTTTTTCCTACCAACATTTATATACATTACAGGACAACTATTAAAGGATGATTAATTTTTGCGGATTTTGATGTCATTCTGTTTTTTGTTTGTTTTCGTCCAAATCTGTGAATTTGTTTTACTCGTGCTAAGTCTGGAAAAAACAATAAAATTTACTTTAGTTTTTTTTCCCATAATGTTGAATGTTAAAATTATTCAACATTTTAACAAAACTTTCAAGTTGATGTTAAAAATTGCAGCAAGACATTTGTTGATTTATTTAAGATGGAATGATCTATTATGACATTTTTCTAGTTTGTATTTAGATACATTGTGTTTAGCTTCAATTTTTCTAGTTAAATTGTTCACCTATATTGCATATGATCCATTAGAGTACATAATTAGGTTACAATACAATTTGTATTTTATATGTATACTACCTAATGAAAATCGAGATAATAGAGTGGGATGCCCTGTATTTATAGGTCAATGGTTGGGGGGGGGCACGAGACCCTTGCACCTGCCCTATTTTCTATATAATAAAATGAGTGTCCAGCGTTTGGAAGGCTTCCAACTATTTAATATTAAGATAATAAAGCGCACATTTTAGTCAGCGTTAAAGTGCACCTTCTAGCGACATCACACACTTACCCACCCCAGCGTCCCTTCCACATTTCAAAACAACCCCAAGACCACGGGATTACCATCAGTTGCATGCTCCTAATGTCCTTACTTCCAACGATGAGTTTAAATTTAAGGCAAGTCGTACGGAGCCAAAATTTGGACTCTCCATGGAACTTACAGTTCTCTGTGATTAAAGATTCTGCCAAGACTTCGTGCATTGTTGATTTTTATTAATGATGGAATGATTTATTATGACATGTCTCTAATTTGTATTTAGATACATTCTATTTATTTTCAATTTTTCTATTTGAATTGTTCACGTGTATTGCATATGATCCACTATTGTACATAATTAGGTTACAATAAAATTTTGTATTTTATGACTACTACCTTATGAAAATGAGATCTAGTAAAGTGGGGCCATATCATAGATTGGGGATAGGGGACACGAGACTCTTGCACTGACTTTGTTCTTTGCTTGTTGGTGTAACCAAAAGTGTAAATACGCATATACAGCAATCGACTAGCCAGATTAACTTAATATAAGATAGGCAACAAGGAGTGTTACGAAAATGTTGTCCCTTTTAATTTTCTGTCGACATATGATACCTTTCATCAGCAGGGAACTTTCTGTGGACGTTCTTATCTTTCATGACTTTACCCTTCCTGTACCTAAAACGAGTTTCCCGATAATTGATAATATTTAACTGTAATAACACCCTATTTGCGCGCTTAAGCTCCATCTTCTGCCCTTCTCTTGAAATAGCGATAATTACTGTAATTATTTGCGTATAATACACACTTCCCCGCTAAGGTCAGGAGGTGCTTATTATGAATGAGAAGTAAACATTAACTCTCGTCCGGCCACGTGCGCCGCCATATTAGGGGCAGTATGTTCGAATGTGAATTAGGTTTAGGCTCAAAACTAACAAAATATGATTGAATAAAATATAATTGTAGGTAACTCCACTTTTTGATAAAAAAAAAAAGCCCCAAACTTAATAAAAACAATTTTTTAAGGTCAAAATGTTTGTTATTGTTATTAAGAAGGAAGACCAAAGTTTGTTTTTTTTTTTTTTGGGGGGTTCTAATTTTTACTACTTTCTAACACGTTCAAAATTTGGGCTAAAAATTTAGGTTTTTTTTTTTTTTATATATCTCAAGGGTGTAACTGGGATTTTCGCGACTGTTTTCCGTTAAAATGACACATTAATTTGGAAATTCTTTAGTGAAACTTTCAGGAATTATTCACAAATGAATGAAATTTATTTTTAGATAGTCTTGGTATATATAAATACATCTGTTAACCCCAATTACTTAATTTTAAAAAGTTTTCTAGAATTTAAAATCGTCAATGAAATGTTTTTATTACTTAAAAGCAGGACTCCTTAGGGAATTTAAATTATCAAGTTTCCTAAAATCACCTACAAATCGAAAAATAAAAACTGCAATAAAATTCTCATTATTCAATTAGATAAGCTTTTAATTACTTTTCTAAATATATACTGAAGAAAATTTTTCAATGAATAATGATTTTTTTTTTTTTTTTTTTTTTTTTTTTTAAATTATAAAGATTCAAGACTGTTTTAAAATTTTTGCAAACATCGTCAAAGTTAGGTTATTAAGTGAAGACTCAATTTACTAATCTAAAATTGAAAAGCTTAATACAAATCATCCTACCAAAAATTTTACAATAATTACAAATAATTTTCATGTCTAAATGTTTTTCCAGGGTTGCACCCACTGACGCTCATGACCCTTTTAGTTTTACTTAGTCAAAAATAATGTGTTCTTATTTAGTTTACTTTTGTTTAAGTTTCTTTTATTCTTTTTGTAAGTTTATATTTTGACAAAAAATACGTTTGAAAGGCAACCCCTTATTTTATTTGAAACTTAATGTTTATTTTTATACTTTATTTCACTTACTGATGAAATTAGTTTTTGTCATTTTATTTTTAATTGTGATAAGTACCTCGACTAATTCGCGACACCTAAGTTTTAAAAAAAAAAATTTTTTTAAATAAAAAAGCTTTCTTGAAAATATTTTTACTATTTCCAGTAAGCAAAATACTATAGTGTATTCAAACAGAAAATATATATTGTTTTTTATTTTATTTATTTATTTATTTTGTGGTGGGGTGATTTTATGCCAATAAAAAGAAAAGGGATACAAAATTTTGCCTTTTTTTTTTTTTTTTTAACTCGTAAATTTGTCAATTCTGGTCTACCATACTTAACCTTTCAACACCTTCGGCAATCAATATATCGATAGAAACGTGAGAATAACAAAAACCCGTGGTCAAGAAATGCCTGTATAAAAGATTTTATGCTATAAATAATATCTGTTTCAAAACAGATTAATTTAACTTTAAATTTGCTAATTTTCCACAAATAACATTTCAGAAATGTATATTTTATTTCTGAAAGATTTTTAAAACTGAGAATTAACTTTTGTTTACTCTGGAAATAGAAAATTTAACCCTTTAACTTTCAATTGAAGCTAAAAAGAAAACTTCAAGAAAGATTTTCATTTATGAAAATAAATTTACGCATACCGAATTATTGGAGGTACCTATATAATTGTATTTATTTTTTTGAAGTTGATAAACAAAATTTGAAATATTTAGGTGTTAAAAATTCTAAAAGGCAGTGCATACATTACATTTTTTTCCAAAATTTCCTAGCCAGATGTTAGCGTTGCATATTATACACGGATAATTATGGTAATTATTTCTTTTCTCTGGCGCTAGTCATCCCTAATGAGAAATAGGTTAAAATATTATCGCTGGTACTGATTGATCGCCTCATTTTAAACTCGGAATGCAACCTTTTTTTAAAATTGGGTTGTAAATATCTTTTAAAAGAAAATGGTATCATAAGAAGTTAGGTTTCGACTGTTGGAATTATAGCCATATTCTGTTTAATGAAATCATATTTGTAAAATACGTCAGTTGTAACTAAAGAGAAATAAATTAACCATGGGTTAATAACACATTTTTCAAAAGCGGTTATTTTAATAACCACTCATCTGGCCTAAAAACATGCTTTTAGCCTAAAATATATAAAGTCTTTTAGCATATTTTAGGAATTAAGTTGTCAACACACATCATTGAGTAGGAAGCTTTATCTTTTAACAGAAACCAGTAGTGACAATGGACATTTTAAGTGGTCACCGATGACAGCATGGAATAAAATTGCCACAATTCCATTGTATCGGTGTCAGAAAGAACAATTACTGTTTTATGTGAGTTATTTGTTGAATAGTAGGGTCAGTCTTATAAAACGTTATTTTTCGTGATCACACCGGGTCATGAGATTGATGTTTATGGCATCTTTTTAACTGTTAATGTTTATGGGAATCTATAAATATTAAACTATAATTCATTAATTACTTTCTTGTGAGCACAGAACAAAATGACAAATAATTAGATACAAAATGATCGATACAAAGAGAACTATAAAAAAGAAAGACAGTTTCTTTTTTCCTTCTCTCCGCAACTCAAATTGAAACGTCACAAACAAAAACTGTCAAGATACATAACTCAGAAAAGTACAGGGGCTGAAAGTGGATGACGACAAAAGGGACAGCATTAGAAACTACTAAATGGGTATATCCACAAATAAAAAGGTCACACCCGACCGTAAGCCTGTTTTTTTTTGGGGGGGGGGTTCTCTTTTAGTTAGTCAATCTGTGAGAAACTATAATCAACTGCTCGTAGATTATACTCTAGTTTTACTATGAGGAAATTGATACTAGTTACTTTAGTAAAATGAACTGCGGTTTCATATGTTAAAGAATGCAGAAGCCGGACCAGAATGACAAATGCTTGGTCAGAATACATTGTGGTCGTGGAATTGTTGACAGTAATGGATTATCTTTGTCTAACTTATGGATATACAGTGTAACCCGGATATAAGAGAAACCCGGATATAAGAGCGATTTTCTCTGGTCCCAAATTAGAGCCCATACTAACCTAAACAAAATAGACCAAACCCGGATATAAGAGAAACCCGGATATAAGATTTCTTCTCCGGTCCCGGACTTATATCCGGGTTACACTGTAAGACCAAAACTGCATGAAATATGCAGAGAGCCGCAAGAATAGATTTCAATTGATGACACTTTCCGCATCCAGATTCCATAGACAGGTTGTAGTCGCACGTGGCGGAATGCATTCTTTAAATTCTCCCTCCTGTTACCTCCTAAAATAAGGAAAAAAAAAACGTTTTTCGTTTATAAAAAAAAATCTATGAATTGTCATTGTGGGCCGAAGCCAGTGACGACACGGAGCGCAACACCTATCCACCTTTTGGAAAGGTGAACAAAATTAACTTCATCTTGACTGCATGTATAGAAGTCCGAAATGACTGTCTTCATTTCATTTGGCATGAGCTTTGTTCATTATAGCTAACCTGCTTACGGTCTAACATGAAAGAGTCGACCAAGAGAAATCAGTCTGCATGCCAACCACGTGTATGATTATTTTCTAAGCGTAGCTTAGATGTGGCACAAGGCCGAAAGTATGGGGCACCTAGTGAGGATCGAACTCGATTTTCAGTCATAACTGATCTAGCGAGACAAGCTTGCTAACCATTACACCACGCCTAGGTGCCCTCCAACCACGTATGTAGAACACTTTCCCAGGTTACTGCGGCTACTAGCATGTACTATGAAAACCTGACATGGTCAAGCTGCTGGGTATTGAAGCAAAACATTTGTACAAACCTTTGAATATGGGGTGGACTTTAGCCAAAGAACTGCGTGAGAGAAATGGCACAATAAAATTAGTTTACATCATTTTTACGGGTCAATGGGCAAATGATTTTCGTAGGGAGCAGCAGGAAAAAAAAACAATAGAATAAGTACGTCTGTAGAGGACCGTGGGATGAAGATGTAAAGAACACACGTGGGTTAAAATTTCCTGCTAGCCGGTCCAGTTACATAAGAATGTTGGAAGTCCAAAGAAAACAAACAAAACTGATAATTATATATATATATATATAAACAAATATATGTATTAAAAACAAGTTACAAGCACATGGACAGTTACATTGAATTTGTATGGTGAATATTATGTGTGTGTATTGTGGTGAGTGTTCGTACGTACATGTATTGTTCTTAGCGTGTTCCCAGAATTTGGGAAACGCCGTATTGGTGAGTGCTCACATATTGCTATTAGCTGAACTGAAGAAAGAGAAAGAATTACCTCACCTCAACGCGAGGTGGGATACGGCACAAGGCCTGAGGTGGAAAAAGAGAGATCGAGGCAAAAGGTCACCCAGTATATATATCAAGGGGAGAGAGACCCTTGGTGAAGGATTAAGGAACTAAGGAGGGGGCCAACTCCTACACGTCGTTCTCAAACCTGTTCAAATAAAAATTTAGTGATTTGTTTCGAATAATCTTAATCATTTCACCCCCAGTAAGCCGTGAATGACACGAATACGTAAGTTTTAGTTTGCCATAGAATCTATTATGTTCTAGTCAACGTAACAGAAAAATGCGCAAATAACTTTTGCAGACATTAGATTACACTATAATTATTTTAAAACCTGTTTTGCACTTCTAAAATGAAGTTTTATCTAAAATAATTACATTTCATAAAGAAAATTACTTTAATAATTTTAAGCATGATTGCGAAAATGACTAAAATTTACAATAACTATATTGTTTGAGTTATCTGAAAATGAATGACCCATAAACAGAGCGAGCTATTTTGACGTCACACAATTCGACAGTCACAGCAAGCGAAAAAATGCTTCAGTTCGTTTATTTATTTATTTGATATATAAAATAAGCTCTACAACTGATGAACAAAATGCGTTCCTGGAATTTGTTTGTTCATTCAAATGTGCATGATAATGAAGATTTTTTTAAGAGCATGTTTCTTAAGAGTTCTTTTTTGATGGTTTATACAAAGAAATCTAATTATGTGCTAGAAACGAAAGATAGGTAATTACTGCATTTTTATCATTTTTATCCTTAAGTTCTGCTGTTAGATAATTAGTGATTAATTCAAAAATCTGTAAAAATGTCCGTTTTCATTAATTTTTCTGGTGTTATGGCGAACGTCAAAATAGCTTTTTTTTTCTGTATTTGACAGGTTAACCGTACCAGCAGTTGAAATTAATGAAAACGGGCATTTTCACAGATTTTGAATTAATTACCAATTATTTAACATCTGAACTTAGATAAAAAAAAAAAAAAATGATAAAAATGCAATAATTGCCAATCTATCCTTTCTGGCACATAATTAGATTTCTCTGTATAAACCATGAAAAAATTACATCACGATATTCATGACATTGTCTTGAAAACTTATACTTAAGTTGCTTATGACAAATTTAAACAAAAATGATTAATTTACATTTGTTATTTCAATATTTACACTATTTATATTCTGACTATAGACCTCATATTTGTTATCACTACGTTTCGACCATTGTACTCTTCGGCCTCCATCAAACTACCAAAACGTTGTAATAACAAGGATTAGGACAACAGTGCGAAGATAAATGTAAATGAGTGGTTCCCAAACTTTTGGGGGTTTCCGCTCCCTTTGTGTCCAAATATACAACCCTAACGCCCCCCCCCCACATTTACAGACACAACTCTAACCCCAAAATGTATAGTCAACCTTTGATTGGCACTAGTATTACATGTCAAATAAGTATCTTACTATTTCCCATAAGAATTGTTATACAAGGTTCAACAGAAAACAGTGAAAAACACACACACACACACACACATATATATATATATATATATATATATATATATATATATTTCTGCATATGGTGACCGGAATAACCCAGGTTAACACTTTACTTGGCTTCCTTTGACGGTGTGGTGGGGAATTCGAATGCAATATTTATTCCAGCATAACATCAGGTACTACTATTGTTTACGAATCAGAAAATGATCGTATCTCTAAAAAGTTTATAATTTAAAAAGTTCCTAAGTGTAAAAAAAAAAAAAAAAAAATGCGCCTGTAATGTAGAGTGGGAAGGGTATGTGGCATTATTTTATCTTGTCTTCCATGGGGTTTCTTCTAACACCCGATAGGCAGCGTCCTGTAAAGCAGTGTAAAAGTAATAGGCAAATCTTTCTTCTCTCTCTTTCTCTCTCTTTCTCTCTCTTTCTCTCTCTCTCCTTCTTTCTTTTTCTTTCTCTCTCTCTCTTTCTTTCTTTCTTTTTCTCTCTCTCTCTCTCTTTCTTTCTTTTTCTCTCTCTCTCTCTCTTTCTTTTTTTTTCTTTCTTTTTCTTTCTTTCTTTCTTTTTCTCTCTCTCTCTCTCTTTTTTTTTTTCTCTCTCTCTCTCTCTTTTCTCTTTCTCTCTCTCTCTCTCTCTCTTCTCTTTTTTCTCTCTCTCTCTCTCTTTTTTTTTCTCTCTCTTTCTTTTTTTTTCTCTCTCTTTCTTTTTTTTCTCTCTCTCTCTCTCTTTTTTTTCTCTCTCTCTCTCTCTTTCTTTTCTCTCTCTCTCTCTCTTTCTTTTCTCTCTCTCTCTCTTTTCTCTCTCTCTTTCTTTTTTCTCTCTCTCTCTCTCACTCTCACACACACACACACACACACACACACACATATCACAAGATGCCGTAGGAACATGGTGTTCGGAGGTTTCTTAATTCCTAATGAACCACCAATTGCATTGCATACAAAACTACTCTCTCCTGTTCTAAAAAAAAAAAAAATACCTCCTGCAACTACAACACCCTATCACATAAATAGTTATCTTCCTCGAACGCAAGGAAATGTCCCACTTCAACAAACTGGGGAACTACTTTGTCAAAACATTTTCCATGGAAATAGCAAGAAAGTAACGAGAAGCTCGCGACATTTCCTCTATGGGGGGGGAAAGAAGTTGTCAGGTGGAAAATAGCACATCGTCCACAAGGTGAGTTATTTGTTTTAACATTCACACCTGAATTTGAATTAAGTACATAGACAAGGAAAGACATTATCGAAAAATAAATATTTGTGAAAATATTTTATTTATTTTTTGTCTTAATATAAATAAACGTAATATTATTTTCTTTTTTTTGTTTTTAGAATCCTATCTTGTGCAGATCGAAGAATCGACCCTCCTTCTGGTGATTGTAATAAGTATTACTGTCATAATTGTCCTTTCAGTGTCTATTTTCATCATCCAGTATTTTTTTATTCGTCCAAAAAAAAACCGGATTTTGATTAGCCTGAAGCAGATCGTCCAAGAAGAGGAAAAGTTCACGCCAAAATTAAACTGAAACATTTTCGAAAAAACAAGAAACTTGACCCAACCAAACGAAGAAAAAAAAAAAACTGTATTCAGTTGATTTATTTTAAATGTTGCAATTCATCGGAATATTTTCATTTCGGCGCCGATGTCTGGTGAATTGGCATCGACTCGTTCATTTATTTTAATTCTAAATTTAATTACCAAAATACGCACAGCCAGCGCAAAAGCAACATCTAAGATGCTCTCAATATCTCTACTTATTCCATCAACTGTGAAGGGCGGATATTTCTGTTACAATTGATGGGCTAAATAATTACACTTGATATATATCATCATCTCACACACAAAAAACCTGAATTCTTTTTGTACAAAAGCTTTTCTAACTTTATACTTAAAATGAAAGACCGCCAACAAATATTGTTGGGAAAACCGCGCTATAAAACCTTAGCAGTTGCTTGTGCAGGACTCCATATTGAAGCTTTGGATATTAAACACACCACCAAGCCCACCCCGAAAATGTCATTGAAACTTTTAATATTTAATACAAATAAAAAAAATGATCTCTGGTTCGTTTATTTTAATTAAATAAATTCATTTTAATATAATACTTCTTGGTGTTTGTTTTGTGTGTGTGTGTTTTCTTTTTGTTTTTGTAATTTGGTGACTAATTTGGGTTGTGGTAATGTCTGTAACCGTCTATACAAGAGTACGCTATTTAAAATGGAGGCACGGTGAAGTAATGGATTACTGCTTGAGGAATCGGAGAGCCGAGTTCGAATTCCAGTCGAATTCATTATATTCACTTACGTCTCTTCTCTCCACCCCCACCCCATCTTATTGGTAAATAGCAGGGCATACTGGATTCTATAGCATTGCTCAATAAGGAAAACTCTGAATTCAAACCAGTGGCTTGGACTTCATCAGGCTATCTTGCCCAAGACGCTGCGGCTAAAGTACATGTGGGGCCCCTATTACCCTAATGGGTTACGGGACTCGTGAGCGTCTATAAATATCAGGTTTGCGTAGATGTTCCGACAGTAGTATAGGTTATTGCTAGTTCGGTCCTCACAAAGTCACAAATTGCCCTGGTAAATTTTAACTCACATGTCTTAAACTGCGTTCACTGTCAATCATGTCTATTGGGGGTCTGTCAACCATCATGTCGCTTTGTTCTTTAAGTAGATGTTAATGTAGTTTTTCTCAAACAAGTCATGATAGAACACTCTGTGACGATTGAACTACTTAGCGAGACTAACTTGCTAAACATAGCACCATTTTTTATATATATATATTTGTGTGTGTGTTTTTTCCCTAATGCAAGGAGTTAACTTCCCGAGGGAATTCCTGGCAATGGTTTACAAAATTAACATCTGTTCATAACTGGCATTATTCTTGTTCCGTCCCCCATGCGATTTCGATCATTCAAAGAGATATTTCAGCCCATGAACTAGATTAAAAAGGCCGCAACGATGCAATTGAGTGACCCTGAAAGAACAACTTGAAATTTGAAGGGAGTCTAATAACTATCAGGTCATCCCATTCTGTCCGAATTTTGAATAAAGAAAACAAGTGACCAATTTAATTACAGATTCAATCAACAATGTATTTCCCTGATTAACTATTAACAAGCTTACTAATTCCATTACTGTAAAATTCTTTTGACTTTGATTCGAAGAACTCACAAATGTCAGTTTTAACTTTTTCCTGTGTTACAAAAGCTGTTTCTTCCAAATGATTCTGTAAGCTACGAAACAAATGGTAGTCTGAAGGGGCATGATCGGGAGAATAAGGTGGATGAGGAATTTTCTCCCAACCAATCTTTTGTGACGTGATTCTTGCTGTGTGGGGTCGCGCATTGTCCTGATGAAATATCACCCCTTTTAGATTCACTAGAGCAGGTCTTTTTTTTTTCCTCAAAGCTTGGTTCAAACGCTCTAATTGCTGACGGTATATTTGAGCATTAATTGTTGCATTAGGTGGTAAGAATTCAAAGTGGATTATTCCTTGGCGATCCCACCAGACTGAAAGAAGAACCTTTTGCCCATGAAGTTCCCTTCTAGGCTGTGGCTGGGGTCCTTTCCCTTTACCAAGCCACTGTATACGACGCTTAACATTTCGATAAAAGATCTATTTTTCGTCGCCAGTCACAAGTCTATCCAAAAAAAGTGAAACAAGTTGGCGAGAATGGAGAGAAGAGCAGATGTCAACTCGGGATTTGAGGTTGTTTTCAGACAATTCATGAGGCACCCATTTTCCAAGTTTAGAAACTTTTCCAATTTATTGAAGATGACGATGAACAATTGTATGGTTTGAACTGAGAACCGCTGCCAATTCCTCAATTGATAAAGCAGGATTCTCTTCAAGGGCTGCTTCAAGAAGCTTTTCATCAAACTCAACTGGATGTCCGGTTCGATCTTTATCTTCAAGGGTGAAATCTCCACCTCTTTATTTTGCTAACCATCTTCTACAAGTTCTTTCATTCACACATTCCTCTCCATAAACTGAGTGAATGTTTCTAGCCGCTTCGGCTGCTGAGTTTCCTTTCTTGAACTCATAAAGCATTATGTGCCTCAAATGATTCTTGGGTACTTCCATGTTAGCAGGGTTTTAATCAAACAAAATTTAATTTTATTGTTCTCTGAAATTTGATCAGTTAAAATGCATCTAAACATAAAAATAATGTTCAGCTCCATTAGACATTATAAAATACTCTTTAAATTTCGTTCATTTTAACAAAAAGTTAAAATTCGGACAGAACTTATGGGATGACCTGATAGATTAAAAAGGCCGCAACGATGCAGTTGATAGTGACCCTGAAAGAACAACTTGAAATGTGAAGGAACAAGTGGGCCATGCCCGAACAGCTGAACTTTGAAATGTTATCAGTTACCGTTTTCCTAGATAGACTTTTTCCGTTAATATTAAGTGATTGGATAATTTTTCGAAAAGACCTCGTATATTTCAGATCTAACAAATGTTGCTATTTGATAAATTTAAACTCTTATATTTATTTTGTCTTTTTAATCATTTCACCTCCAAGCAAAGCGGGAATGCCACTAGTAAGCAGGGGGTTACAGAGCGTGAAAGTATGAAAAAAAGACTGAGGATTGAGGAAATGTCAAAAGATGAAAGGGATTCAAAATGGCGATGACGTTGCATTTACATTTTGAAGATTGTAGTTATCAGGGAAGCAAGTAAACGGAAAGGAGTTCTACGAGAAATATATTTACAAGTCGATAAAGAATTTTAATAGAATGTTGGGATTAAACACATTGCAGAGAAGTGGTCAAAACAAATCTATTAATAGTTTTTTGTGTGTGTAAAGATCTAAGCGATAACGAATTCAAACAACACTTGCTGGTTATAGTACGAAGTGTGTGCATCTGATACTTTGGAAGCACTTCAACTTAACACAAGAAAAAATTAGTAGAAACAGGATGGACGAAAAAAGCAGCGGTCCGATGATGTCGAGGTAGAAGTTTTCGATTATATTTATTCGTAATTACATAAGTACATTAAACTAAGTAATTATGGCGGGACGGTGACCGTTCTAAGTGACGTGATGGTTTAAAACTGAGCTGAAACTTTCGGATATTTGTAATTGGGTGCAAAATAGAAAAACAAGTTACGTCGATATATTGCAAATAATTTTTTTTACCTACTCATATTATTTAATTCTTAGAATTTGAACAAAACAAAGAAATGTAGAAACATTACCAAAGAAACTGTCTATTTGGTAATGTTTCCTTTCTTTGAGTGTAGTGAAAAAAATGTTTGTATGAATCCGATCTCTGAAATCAAATACTTTCAAAGTAGGTTGAGTTTTTCTTTTTAAATTACTACTGTTATTATTGATAAAATTTTTCCAGGTATTATTGGGCATACGAAGGATTTATCAACCAATCTTTTGTATTTTCTGCGATAAACCCTTCACATAGGGTAGGCTCTGGGATACCAATTATGACTTTTTCTCGATGTTGTAAGCAGCGGACGATCCCTTTCTTTACAATTCATGGGCCTGGTGTTTTGGCCTTTATCATGTACATGCCCCAGTGGATAAAGACGTTGGTTAGAGCCAGTGATTAGACCCAAAGAGTTATGAGTTCAATACCAGGCCATAGCAGTGGTGAACCCAAAAAACTTGGAGAGTTGAGCTAAAGGGAAATAACTGAGACATCCGGAAGAGGCACGGAACGTGGAACTAGAACAATCTTGTCCAGTGGACGAAATAAAGAAGGCCAGAGCGTACAACGGCCAAAACGGTGTGAATATGGCATTGAAGATGAGGATAACAGTCCGAATAATGTAAATAATGCGAGTAATCATAATACTTCACCTCAGAGATATAGACGTTATTTTGACGTTTATATATATATATATATAAGACATTTGTATCTTATTTATCAACCATAATTTTCCATTAATTTTATTACCGGAATCATTGAGTTAACATACGATAAGACATTCATCCGTCGAATGTGTTGCCTGATCACTTACTGTTTCCGTTAACCTGGAATTGATTCAGTCTGTTAACAGAAGAATAAATTTTATTCAAATGATATCACGTTTTCACGGCAATTTCGTTTTGCCTACATTTCCGCAGCGTCCTGACAACTTCCGCCCAACAAAATTATTAATTTTTTAACCTACTTCATACTGCAAAAACACTTAATTTTTTTAAGCAAATCTCACAGTTAGAATGACAATTTTTTTTACATAACACAAATTTAACTTCCTACCAGCTTTATTTCTGGAGACTTTTTAATAAATATTCATAGACAACTAAGTGAAAACTAAAATTTCCAATTTAGAGATTATCTTCTCGTCTTAAATGCATTTTTAACAGATGTTTTCCAAGATAAGTTACTAAACATTTACTTTTCAAGCTAAAAAAAAAATCTTCAATTCGTATCTGTGATACGTCTGCCCAAATCCACATCAGTACTTGACGACATGTACTTAGTTGATCACATGACTCGTAACGTGTCTCTTTAATTACGTCATCTTACAAAATATATGAAAATTATC